TTATATAGGAAGAGAAGAAAGAAATGTTTGGCCAACAATTGGTCACATCCTCTCAAAATACAAAGCTATTTATTTGGCCGACAAGGCCTTAAATAAAAGGCTCCAAATGTGCCAACAAGGCTCACAAATAAAAAGCCTAAAAATAAGGCCGCCTTTTACGGAAGAATAGTTTTGTGTGAAGTTGGTGATGGGATAGAAAGATTAGATATAGGACATTTTGTGAAGGATGCTGGGGGTGCTGGAATGATACTCATGAACGAGGAGCCACAAGGCTTCACTATAGTAACTGTCCCTCACGTTCTTCCAGCAGCTCATATCAGTTTTATTGATGGCCTGAAAATCAAAGCCTACATAAATACAACATCAACTCCTGTGGCTTCATTTTTGTTTAAAGGAACTATATTTGGGGATGATCATGCTCCAGCAGTTGCAGCCCTTTCATCTAGAGGTCCTTTTCCGGAAAGCCCTGGCATTTTGAAACCTGACATTATTGGTCCTGGTATTAGCATCCTTGCAGCGTGGCCAACATCCGTGGAGAACAATACCAACACGAAGTCTACCTTTAACATATTTTCTGGCACATCAATGTCCTGTCCTCACCTTTCAGGAGTTTTGACATTAATCAAGAGTGCACATCCAGAATGGTCTCCAGCTGCTATCAAGTCAGCAATCATGACAACCGCTGATCTTATGAACCTTGGCAATAATCCTATTGAAGATGAAAGGGGCCTCCGAGCTGACTTCTTTGCTACTGGTGCAGGCCACGTTAACCCATTAAGAGCAAATGATCTGGGGCTGATCTATGACATCCAACCAAATGATTATATACCTTATTTATGTGGGTTGTATCCAAGTAGAGCTGTTAGTTTGATTGTTTTGAAAGAAGTAAACTGCTCATCAACCATCCCTGAAGCAGAACTTAACTATCCATCCTTTACAATTAAACTTGGATCTGATTTTCAAGTATACACAAGGACTGACCAATGTGGGCGAGCCCGTCTCATCTTATACTCTGGAGATTGTGCCACCCCAAGGAGTTGATGTGAAATTTGAGCCTTCCACCTTGCACTTCTCGGAGATTTACCAGAAGATTACATATCAAGTAACCTTTAACCGATCAATTTCAAGCATTAATGCCACCTTTGTTGAAGGATTTTTGAAATGGAGCTCATCCAAGCACTTTGTTAGGAGTCCAATAGTAGTTACCTTGGAACCATGAGGAAGCTATACAACCAACTCTAAGAGCTTTATTCACACTATTCTACAAAGAAACAGTAATTTCTGGATTTCAAGACCATAGGACAAGTGATAATTTTATTTTCTGTATTCCAATAGTTCATGTGTTTTAAGCATCTTCAAAAGTTCAATGTGGAACTGGAAATAAGTTGCATTGTCTTAACTCCACAGATAACTCCATAATAAACGCTCCAACAACAGCCGTCCAAAACACCAGGAGCATATCCTTCAACTAGGTTCTTTTTTATCTCACTACACAAACATTATTAAGAATAATCTTTAACAATTTGACAAGGATGAACCTATACTTCAAGGATGAATAAATGGGAATGACGATTGACAAGAACTGAAAATGCCAAAATAATCAAGCTTCTGAAATGCATAGACCTGTTCAACACACACACAGTAGAACTAGTACGGCATACTGAGTTTGTCTTTTCCAAATAATGAAGTTCTAAAGTGAGGTTAGTCTAGCTAATTCTAACACAAAGGTTGTGACTATCACGAACTAGAGTAATGATTATCTTGTAATAAAAATTACAAATTACAGTAACTTACAAACTACAAGGAGATAGACTTGAAACAACAATGTAGGCACTTGTATGGCTGAACTAGACATATCAAGATTGCACGCTTGAAATGATGAGGTAAGTGCTGGCTACTTTTGTTATCTGGGTCCTGAAAGCTCAATTGGTTCAATGGTAAATGAGGATTCTTCATGGATGTCGCTAAAATTCCTAGAGAAGCTGAAAGCTCTTGTTTCGCATATGTTGCTTCCACCTTGTGATTCGTCCACATGCCCCATTTGTCCCGTAATGTCTTCCAGGATTCTCAAAACCTCTGACATCTTAGGCCGATTATTGGGGTTAGATTGAGTGCACTGTAGAGCCACTTCAACTGTTTTCTCTAGCTCCTCTGTATTAAAACATCCTTTTAGATCCCTATCCACAAGCATTTCCACTTTCTTTTCCTCAAATAAATTCCGGACCTGCAAATTCGACAGTTAGTCAGAATGAGTGATTAGTAAATATGACAGTCAAAAACCCGATTAAGGTTTTCCGTAAGCCCAACAGATCATGTACCAGATTATAAAGTCAGCATAAAAAACAAAGTTATCAACTAATGTTTCAGAATTTTAGAACTGTTTCTCTCGTGAGATGCGGAGCAACTTCAGCGTCTGACAATGGTTAATGTGTCAATTTTAGTGAAAATTTCAAGTCAAATAATGGCTTTGATTATTACCCAAACAAAATCCTGCAGGAAGATTAGCTATTAACTCGTTAATCAAAATGAAGTTAGAAGTTATATGCACACAAACATATAAAGCTTCAAATAGTAGGAGGGATAGAAGCTACTCACCCGGTCAAGAATAGTTCCTTTCTGACCCTGACCATTTCCTGCATCTAGCGACTTGAGCCCTGTAATGAGTTCCAAAAGTAGTATTCCATATCCAAAGACATCTGTCTTCTCAGATGATTGGCCAGTTGATAGATACTCTGGGGCTATATGACCTATAGTACCACGAACTGCTGTTGTAACATGCGAATCTCTACAGTCTAAAAGCTTCGCGAGACCAAAATCACCAACAACAGCTTCAAAGCTTTCATCAAGAAGAATATTAGCCGCCTTAACATCCCTGTGAATTATTTTAGGATTACACTGTTCATGCAAATACAGAAGCCCTCTGGCAGCTCCAAGGGCTATATGCATGCGCTTGCTCCAATCCAAAAATGGTGTATCCCGACCATTGTCTGGTAGAGAATCAAATCTTATGTGAGAACAGAGCAAAAGATGACATAATCACTGCATCAAGTAATCCGTTTACATCCCAATACATATTCCAATTTGATTTTGATTTCATATACCTAAAAATTGGCTATAAATTTGGCCATGTTAAATATTAATGACAAGGCAACTGTTACCTTACCACCAAAAAACAAATCATTTCATTCATGGATGATGTAGTATGGGTTTGACGCATAGTTGATTGATTTATTGATATATTGATGTCATTCCACTTACAAGAAACATTGACAATATATCTCCAACTTAAACTAATCAATCAGAAGTCGTTTTCATTATAGGAGTCCTGGGTTTCAGGCATAGAACAGTAAGAACATTGCACAAAGTCCTCGATTTCCATAAATCATGACCTTTCAAGAATTTTTGCCAGATTAACATTGAGAGCACCAGGAAGTAATTGAAATTCACTGGTGAACCTGATCAAATTTTGAATCAATTGTAACAAGATGAAAGAATTAGTTCAAGAAAAGCTCCAAGTAAATATACATCAAAGCAAACCTCTCAAGCAATCAGCAACACTCCCATTTGGCATATAAGGGTAAATAAGTAATCTTTCCTCTGCAGTCATAGAGAATCCATATAAACGTAGAAGGTTCCGATGCACAGCCAAGCCTATCATCTCAACTTCTGTTTGGAACTGCACTTCTCCAGTGAAATTTGGATCTCTCAATCTTTTGACAGCCACTATTGTCCTATTGGGAAGGTATCCCTTGTAGACTACTCCAAATCCACCTTGTCCTAGTATATTTTTAGAGCTGAAATTTCCAGTGGCAATTTGCAATTCACGGAATGAAAACCTCTTCAGGTGGCCAATGGCGAATTCGCAATCGTGTTGCACTGCAGATCAAAAGATCAGAGACTCATAATGTATCTAGGGTTAATGTGCAGGAGATCAGAGATGTGTTTCTAATCTTGTAGTTACCATATCCTGTGAGGACATTAGACCTGTACCAATGCACCCAACAAACAAGCAACATGACCGTAACTATGAATGTGCAACTGACCCCAATGATAACAGAAACAACCCACCGATGATGATTGCTAGTCTTCCTGTCTGAACTCATTTCTGCATGGTTAAAAAATAGAATTTGGTCAAAACGCTTCAGCCTCAATATCATAAAAAAGTTCTGGGAAGATTTCAACAATACCATTTGCTGGTTTTGGCACGCCCCCACAAATTTGTGTGGGCATTGCAGAGCAAAGAAAGCTGTTTCCTGCAATACTAAGGCAATAACCAAAAATATAAGCTGAAAAAAGAATACAAAGAAACCGGAAAGGTTGCAAGAATGACACCAAGGGGGATATAAACAGTAAGCATTGTAAGTAGGATACAAAACTTTTATGACATCAGACATTATATCAAGTCAAATATTTTGCTTGACTTCGGCAAATAACATAACATCGTGGAGGTTCTGCTGGACCAAGCACTAGATAATACTTCAAATGATAAGAAATGAAACATTACTTTCAGGTCCATAAGCTATCAAGAAGTGACTTTTTTTTTTCAGTGAACGACATACCACCACAACTAACAGTCGAAGTAATGCAAGATGACAGTTACTAAAACGATAGAAAACTTTACTATGACAGAAAAATTATGTATGGCACTGTGTCATATGTCATGCAACATCGTACCAAGCATTTGTATTTCGCATTTGAACTTACACGATCTGAATGTCTATCCAAAATCGTGAAAAGCTGGTGAACTCAGATAGAATGTCAGATGACAGCCTTCCATAGCATTCGTACACTTTGCAGGGAATTTGTTTCACCTTCAACATTTTGCTTAAATTCTTAAAATGAGAAAGCTTTAGATTCAGAGGATAATGGAAGTAATAGCTGAGCGGATCTTTTTCTTCCTTTAGTGTTGCATATATCATCATCCTCATAGAAAAAGCGTAAAACTTGAACCCCTTTGATCCATCAAACTAGAGACCAGAAGGATCTTTCCAATCGACTGACCAAACTAATAACATTGAGGACCAAGCATAGAATCAGATGGAATTATTTTGCCCTGAATCTTACCTGTAATCTTTAGCCAAAATTTTTGGAGTAGGACCACTAAGATTATTGAACGATAAGTCCCTGCACAACACCATTCACAAGTTATTTAACTCGCATCTCGCCCTTGATTGGACATACAAATGACATGGAAGGAATACATACAAGAATGAAAGACCTGAAAGGGATGCCACAGGTTTAGGAATTAGTCCAGATAATCTGTTCCTGCTAAGCCTCCTACAAATTTGACACACCAAAGGATTACATTCAAAACCAAGTAGAAGAGAACTGTAACATATGCGTGATCAAGATAGAATATTTCAAAGAGTTTAGTCCACACTCACAAGTAACTTAAACGGAACAGGCGACCCAACGCCCTAGGAATTTCTCCATCAAACTGATTACCGGATAGGTCAAGGGTCAGCAGTTCAGAGAGCTTCCCAATCTCAGCAGGAATTGGACCAGATAACTGATTATTCTGCAACAACCTACAACAAAAACCAATGAATAAAATGAACTTTAACAGATCATAGTAAAAGATATTTCTCAATATATCCTGCAATTAAAGCATTTAGTTGTCAGTCTTAATAATATTATAATTATTTTTAATATATTGGCATATTTCCAAGAAATATTTGAGCAGCATCTCATCTCCACCAAAAATAAGAAAAGAATAGGCAATTCATGTGAGATTTATTTTACTCACAGTGTCCGAAGATGAGTTAAATTCCCAATACTGGGGGAAAGTGAGCCAGATAACCCCATACTCGCCATTTCACTGCCAAGAATTAACAACCAAAGCATAAAAATCATCTCTTCACACACACACAAAAATGTTGACAAGATGTAACAGAAAGAGAGAACACTCACAGAGAAATAACAAAGCCTTCAGAAGAGCAACCAACCATGTACCAAGTACAAGGATCCACTGAATTTATATCCCATCCATCTAACACTTGGTATTCATCTCTCATCTTATTCTTCATTGACATCAGTGCTGCCACTGCTTACCCCACAAAAGTTTAATTCAATAAATGTGTAAGTAAAGTTTTAATCTTTCCACTCTAAACTATGAAAACAACAAAAATAAATGCTTATAAATAGTGCTAACCAACAAGTTTGGATTTTTCATGTGAAAACAAGAAATTGCATGTTAAGGGTATACTACAAAAGTCTCAAAAAAGAAGAAGCTAAAATAGAAGAGTTTACCTTCATAGTTGACACCCTTAGGTGAAAGAAGACTCATAGAAGCAGGAGTAACGGCCAACCAAAATAGAAAGATTGAGAAAATGAGTAGTACTAAAGTTACCATTTAGATCTCAAAAGCTAACTACCAAAAAGAAAGATTTTGCTTTGCAGAGCTTTCAGAAAAAGGTCCTTTTTAGCATTCATCATTGTGCAGCAGTAGCAGTGGGGGTGTAGCACTATAAAATATTTCCCTCGAGCTTATAAATGGGTGATTAAAGTCCTGTTTGGTTTTTATTTAAATAAGAAAAGGGAATCCGAAGTACTAACTTACTGCGAGTTCATTGTAAGTTGTAACTATAAAAGTATACTCATCAAATTTTGTAACTATAAAACTAATCAGATTCAACTTACAATTTGCACCCCTTTTTTCTTACTGTAATTAATTGTTTACTGAATAAATAGTCCCTCAACAACCTAAATTGTAAACCCCAAGAAATCATTGGAGCAAGAAGCTTTTTAGTACCACCAAGGAGTATAGTGTATTGATAAAACTTCTTATAAGAAACGTTCCTCCTTTAATTTGAACCTGTACGGTGTCGTTCTAAATTAATCAGACCAACGAGTACAAAATATCGTCAATGTTAAGCAACAACAAAGAAGTAGCACTTTCTAGTAAAATTATATTTCTTGAAAAAGAAATTTTTGGGGGAAATAAATGAAAAATATTACTCCCCACAATAAGTGAGTTTTTGGCTTCTTTTTTTTTTGATCCAAAATATGTGATTTTTTCAGATTTCAAGAATTAATTAGTTATTTTTTTCCTGCATTGTCAATGAAGTAAATAGTGTTGGAGTATGTGTAGGAATATTTATTTGAAGAAATAGTAAAGGTTAATACGGTCAATTTTATTATTAATTAATATTAAAAGGTAAATTTCTTAATCTAAACCATCAAAAAATCATTTATTGTTGTCCGAGAGAGTACTCTTACAATGTAAGCAAATTGTAATTAGTAGTGATTTTAAGTGGGTGGGAAAAGGAGAAGACTTTGAGATTTGGGGACTGTTCCCTTGTGTTTATACATTTACTAAAAGATCCAGTGTGATAGGCAACACCATAGGGATAGTTAAGCGGAGGGTATTCATTGGCTAGAGTTGATTTTAACCAATAATCGCAGTGTTTATTGTGGGGGGGAGTAAAAGCAAAGAAGCAGTGAATCATTTCATAAATGTTTTGAAAGTTTTCGCGCGGCTTTGATGTGCTCGCTAATGGCGCTTAGTTGTTTGACTTTTACGAAATGACACACACAATTAGTCCAGAACCCCATAAAGACGCAAAAAATAATCACTCCTACTAATTTAAGATAAGTTATGTGTTATATGCAAATATATCTTGTTTTTATTTGCGTGGTATAAATACCATATACCGGTAAATATTTTTTTAAGGACATCTCAAAGCTTTATTTTTTTTTATTTTTTTCCTATTAAATGTATGAACCATTTTTCATACGGTGTAATTTTTTTTTTTAGGAAAAAGGAAAATAAAGCTCTGAGGTGTCCTTAGACCATGATTCCACAATGCAGAAACTTAGATTGAAAAAAAAGTAAAGGAACAATCGATCCAATTATCTTGATTTCAATTCCTTGAAAACATTCCTAATTGCTTTCATTTAGAAGCTTACTTATAGCTTCTATTCCTAATTGCTTTCATTTACAAGCAACCTATAACTTTTGTTCCTAATTGCTTTCATTTTTACTTATACTCCCTCCATCCCAAAATATTGGCTATATTTCGTTTCTCGAGTGTCGATATGACTAATCTTTGAAGCTAAATCGGTTTAATTTAATTTAATAATTTAAATTTAAAATTTAGATATTTGAAAGCTATAAAAAAATATTAGATATTCGAAAGCTATTATAAAAATATTATAATTAATAATTATTCTCATATCAATATGGTGAAAAAATATATGGCAAACGACCGGCTAAAGCTTATGTAATTTGAATTTAGACATGATAAGTACTCTCTCTGTTTCAAATTAGATGAGGTACTTTCCTTTTTAATCTGTTCCAAAATAAATGACATATTTTTAAATTTGGAAATAATTCAACTTTAAACTTTTCGTTTTACCCATTTTACCATTAAAGAAAAGCTTTTATAATCACACAAATATCATGATCCCACAAAACTTTTACTCTTTAAACTTTTAATACCACAAATTTCAAAAGTCTTCTTTCTTTTTCTTAAACTTTGTGTCGAGTCAAATAAATTGAAATGGAAGGAGTAGGAATGAGTAGCTTTTGTAGACGGATTACTTTAGTCAACTACTATCAATTAAGTTAAAATTTTCACAGAAAAGTTTCAACGCGTGACTTTAAAATTTAGGACGCTTTCTAAAAGTCTAAAAAGTAGAAACCCGTAGTAGAGAAATAAGATCCCTTATCCACCTAAATATATCATCCTGACAAATGAGAATCGTTCAATTGCGCTTTGGACTACCACCTGGTCCGGTGACTATCACTTTTACCAACGATATATATAAAGATTATAAGTGTAACATTTTGCTTAGGCTAAATTATAAATTTTTTACATAAAAAATTTGGTAACAAACTTATGACAGAAATATTCTTATTTAAATGTACATAATGAATCCATAATAATTAACTAGTGTTATTTATACATCAGATAAACTAACAAGTACGCATCCAGAACTTCAAAAAATAAATAAACAATAAGAAACTAATAGAGCACTATGAAGAAAACTTCTACTAACGCTCTTTTTTTTAACCAAGAAAGTCCTAAAAAATAAATGTTGAAGGAAAAGAAAAGTTTGAGAAATATGAATTCTTTCAGTTAAAAGATTTAAAGAGCTGGCTATATCCTATATTTTTACACCAACTCTAGGCCAATATTGCTAACAAAAATGATGTCTATATTTTTACCATATCACAAAAGAGGCAATGTAATTACCAACCTGCACGCGCGAACAGGTCAAAATCAAAAGGCGTCAGCCACACAAAAGAAGATATAAAAAGCAGGAAGCAATAAGAACCAAGGCAAATATGACCAAAGCAAATAAAGAGAGGGAAATAAAATAGATATGTTCCATTAATCTTACTCACATATAGCAACTGTAACACAATTTGTTTGCAACACTTTCCGACGTAGAAGACTGCTAAATACAAACTGAACAGAGAGAGATCAACTTAAGGAGAAAAACACTGCCCTTTCAAGTCCTGGCAATCCTTTTGGCGCCTTGCAACTTGTCCATACATGTCATTCAATCGTCCCTGGAAGCTTTCTGGTCAATTACTACTATCAAACATGTACCAAAACATATTTCCTTTTTTTTAAAACTAGTTGGCTGCTACGAGTGGGAGACTTCGAAGAGTGGAACAAAAAAGAAAATACCAAGTACAGAGAACTAAAATGCACTGCAGCCCATTACTTTGTCCTCATCGACCAGGAGATGCCGCTTGTCCTGCTGGATTACGCTTCAAGGGATGTAACTTGGATCCCTTAATATTTAGATGATCAACCAGTATATTTTTCTAAGCATATACTTCACGTCATGTCACCGTGGGATGCAAAAAGATGCAGGCCCATCTGCCTTTTTATATGGTCTGGTATCAACCTGTTTACGAGGTCTGCAGAGGCACCAGACAACTGAAACCAGGAAAATATAGTTGGATAAGCAATGGAGTAAACTTAAAATAGGTAAGTACAGAATGCGTAGACAACTGAAACCAGGAAAATATAGTTGGATAAGCAATGGAGTAAACTTAAAATAGGTAAGTACAGAATGCGTAGACAACTGAAACCAGGAAAATATAGTTGGATAAGCAATGGAGTAAACTTAAAATAGGTAAGTACAGAATGCGTAACTCCGACATTAGTATAGTTATATAATATTAATGCCCTTCAGCTGGGATTGGGAAGAATGACGCACTGATGGTTTAACCTTCAATTTTAAGAATAAACATGTGAAAGCTGTACCTCCTGCTTAAAATTGAAGAGAGGAGGCAATGGGCGACCATTGGGAAGCCGTGCATTTGGTTCACGAAGCTCATCAAAGAAAGGATGAGCACATGCTTCAAGCTGCAAAATGAGAAGCATATTAATTTATGAGATTTAGGAATTCATTGTTCAATAAACAAAGAGGAACCATATGTGACTGGGAGCACTGGTAACAGGGCAGTAAACCTTATAAAAAACAGGTCAGTAAGAAGCAGCACGAGGAGATGTGGGAGCATAAAAAGGACCACAGAAATGGCCACCCCAAATGGAGACATGTCAATTGTGCTACATATGAATTGTTGCATTAATGGATGACAATCACATCAGGAAAAAAAAACTAAATTGCACTTACTGCGGTGCAACGTAGACTTGGTGAGTATTGCAGAAGCCGAGAAGCAAGGTCAATTGCTTCAGGAGGCATCCGTTTGTGGAAAACCTGAGACCAGGCACAACATAGTAAGTTAGCAGCAGACAGATAGATAGATATAAAAGAGCAAAGAAACAGCAAAAGGATTTATTTGCACTTTTGCCATTAACGTGGTTTTGCAAGAATAAAATAATCATCCGGATGGGGATTGGGAGTTCAAATCCCCTTAAAAGCCAAACTCACTCAGTTGTGATATTGAATATTTATTACTTTTCAAAGATTTACTTGTGATTTCCAGATTTTGTTTCCTTAGTATTCAATGGATATGCTGATTAGCAGAATGAGTACTCTTTAGGGAAGCCAATCTGATGTTATAGCTGCTTCAGCACAAACTCATTAATCAAGACTAAAATCCTAGTAACTTATTTCTACACAAATTATAACCAAACTCAAGAAATACCTTGAGTCCGGTTTTCATAGGTATAAATCTTTAAAACTCTTTGACCTCTCAATTAGTAGATAAGCAGATTCTTCTAAGGATTAAAGACTTGAGATTCTTAGCTTTTGAACCAAAAATGGTTAGGGAGTAATGATTAATGAAAAAACTAGAAATCCATGCTTGAACATGTAATACGGATTCGACAAGAGGATACCAAATAAATTTCAATTAATAGAAACTAAAGCCTAACCTCGAAGTATCTAAATGATTAAATTTCACAAATTCCATCAACAAGCCAGCACCTATGTTCTTTTGGAGAATGCTTAAACAAACTGGACGCTCCAAAGACAGTTTTTTTTTTTGGGCCAATTATCAGTTAAAACAAAAAGGGCACCCTTGACAACTTGCTTAAGTTTCAGTACAAATTCGGCAGGAATGAGCTATGCTTCAAACAACAAACTGTTGCTCCACTAGGTAAGACTTGAATCAAGTGAAAGCATACCTT